TACCTCCGCTGCCGGCGAGATCAGCGTCACCACCGATGCCGATAACGCCGACACGATCCAAGCCGCTGAGACGACCAAGCCAGCGCCCAAGGCTGCCCTCAAGGCCGCACCGAAGGCCACGGCGAAGGCCACGCCAAAAGTCACACTCAAGTCCGCACCAAAGATCACACTGAAGGCCAAGGCCGCGCCCAAGACCGCTCCCAAGCCTGCGCCTGAACCCGCGGCCGAAGACGAAGACGAGACAATGGTCGACGACCCGGAGAAGGGCCTATTCGTGCTCGACACCATCATTGGCCATCGCAAGGATCCCAAGGACAAGACCCTCTTCCAGATGCACGTCCGCTGGAAGCACGATGAGCCAAGCTGGGAGCCTGAGAGCAACATCCAGGAGGATGCCGAGGAGGCGCTCTTCGAATACTGGGATAGCGTCAAGGGCGGCCGTTTGGGTGCCATGGCCGACAAGGATCTGTGGCACGTTCTGCGTGTCGAGAAGCACAAGCAGAAGCCTACCGGAAAGGTCGAGCTGTACGTCGCCTGGACCGGTTCTCCCGACCGATCTTGGGAACCCGAGGAGAATGTTACGCAATTCGCTCGCGAGCTTGTCGAAGACTACTGGGCCTCCAAGGGCGGCCGCGACAAGGTGATCAAAGCCATCGCCGCGCCTGCGAAGAGAGGCCGTGGCCGTCCTCGTAAGGAGTCGTCGGTCGAGGATGCTCCCAAGGCGGCCCCCAAGGCAGCTCCGAAGGCGAAGGCCAAGGAAGTCAAGGAAGCCGAGGAGCCTGCGCCGAAGAAGCCCCGCGCCGGCCGAAAGAAGGTTCCAGAGGAAGCAGAGGCACCAATCGAGGCCAAGGAGGCCGCCACCAAGAGTGCCGAGCTGGAGAAGGCGGCTGAACAGACGGAAACCGATGGCGAGCCGCCAAAGAAGCGCGGTCGTGGTCGTCCCAAGAAGACGCCTGTTTCATGAGATGGTTCGGCCGTGATCACGCTTTAGCGGTTTGATACAGAAGATTATAGACATTTGGGAGACCGGAGGAGACGGAAGATTTGGGTCACGAGGCTTACTGGCTAAATTTGCTATTTGGGGTGAGCTATGGGGATTCTGATGAAAGAAAGGGCCTTGGGACGATGGGTCTGAACTGTGTATTGTACGTTGTACGTTTCCTCATATTTTCCTTGGCTCAGGCGGTTCATTATCAGGCTTTTCAATCCTAGGGTGATTTCAAATGCATACGCCAGTCAATATGTCTATGGCGGCGCATGGGAAGATATTGCACAACACGTGAGGCGGGTACTGTTTGCTGGTTTGCCTGAACTAGCATAATGAACGCCTTTCATCATGGACCAGTGGTGATGCGCAAGCCTAGACACAGGAAAGGCGGCTACTCCATTCTGAAATGCTTTCATTATCTTCACTGATGGCCAAAAGGCTCACACAGTCCAGTCTCGTTCCGCGAAATTCACCCGAACCAGTCTTCCTGCCTTGGTTATCCACATGAGACACCGTCCGTTGATAACTGGGGTCATATCGTAGAGATGATGGTTAGTGCTCGGCCTGTATTCCGCTGGAATACGCAGCATCTTTCCCCATTCAACGTGATCCACTGTAGGTATCTGCTAAAGCCATACCCTAGTAAGTACGCTTCCAGCGACATGTCTGAAGCTGGTGCTTTTTGAAGAACCGTTTCCATGTTGTCAGAGTCTGAGTAGTCTGAGTAGTCTGAGTAGTCTGAGTAGTCTGAGTAGTCTCATTTTGAAGTGGCTGGGCTCAAGCAACCCCGCTCTAGGCTGGTGCAGTCGAGAAAGCTGTACTGGGTGTGCAGGCGCGTTTCGTGCTTGACATCGAACAACTTACAGATAAAGTTGTAGTCGTTGTTTTCCAGCCTTCTTATGCAGGCGCCTGAGCTCACGTCCCATAGAGTCATTAATAGGCTTAGTAGCGTTTGAGCCACATGATACTGAAGCGTTTGTGCTTGCCGATCGACCAAGCTGAATGATGCATGTTCGTCATCACATCATTGATGGTAGACTGTGAGAGACAGCACCTGGTTCCCATGTGTCATTGCGTATATAGTTCAAGGATTGTGAAAAGCTCCATGATGCTATCTATACTCTGATCTCTCCCAGGCTTGCCGTTCTCTTCCGACATCGGCTCCCTGCGCACAATAGTAGTCTATCTTTCTGTCTCAAACTGCAGTCGTACTATTCTACCTGTATCAGTAGACCGTGTAAGAGCGGGCCCGTTCATGCCTGTTGCGAGGGGAGTTTTTCCCTCCGGTTCATCACAATATCTGTACCTATACTCTGGAGGGATCCAAAGTCTCTTTTCTCCATGTGAACATATCCAGTCCCAGTTCCTGCTCAATGTGTACCCAGGCAAACGTAGCGTATCCTCTTGGTCCACATCAGGCGCTTTTATTGCACTAGTACCGAGCCGATCTAAGTCTAGAAACCCGAACTCGGTGTATAGGCGCGAAGATAGTTCCGCGTCGAAGGACAAGTGAATTTCGTTAATGCTATGGTCATCAAAGTTGATTGAATGCGTGCAGGTGTTTGAGTTGACGTCCCAGATTGTAATTGTATCAAACGAGCTCCACAGCAGTTGGTTGTCGACTGAAAAGATGAGGGAATCGATTAAGTAGCAAACTTCGGGTACTATCGCACAAGCACCTGTTGCCATGTTCCAGAATGCGACCAACCAACGACATTCTGAGTCTAGAAACGCATGCGCCAACCAGTCTCCGTTCGACGAAAAGGTAATGTTATAGATAGTGTGGATGTCGGGGCCATGAAGCGTCTTTTTGCGCTTGCCTCCAGGTATGTCCCACAGGCTGATGACGCCTTCAGCGGATGATGCTAGTTGGAGATCACCTCGGAAAGCCAGCGAAGTGACATATGTGTCGTAGGGGCGACACTCCTGCGATGCAGAGGGTTTGTTTTCGCCCAATGTCGTCATGAGGGCACCAGTCTGCAAGTCCCAGACGGTAAGTTTGCCTGTTATCGAACCAATCGCAAAATGTTTGCTATCAGCTGAGAACGCCATTTCCTCTACGCGGTCGCCATCATGACGAATCTCTGTACTCTGACCAGACGATGTCATGTTCCAGAACTTGACCTTGTGGCTTGTGTCGTAGTATGCTGCGACCTGCTGGCCATCGGTTGAGAAACAAACGCGGTATGGTCGACCTTCATTGTTGCTGAACGTAGTTCCGGATTGAGTCATTGATAGATCCCAAATTTCGATCACGTTTTCGCCGGTGCATGCAAGAAGTCGGCACGCGTCCGGCGAAATGGCGAGTGCATAGGACGACTGATGACGAGACCAAACTAAAGTTCCTGTAGCGACATCCCAGACAGAACTGAATTGAAAACCACCTACTGCAAGTAGTTGGTGTTTCTCAGAAAACGTCATGCAAGGGACATGGACATTGCTCAGGACGTCTGAAAGCGACATGAAGGGGCTGGGCTCGAACCCACTGAGTGTTTCCCCACGCCGCATAATATGGCCCCTCGACATGAGCCACTGTGTATTCCTTGAATACGAACTTAAGTTGTGCCCATCTATTGTTTGCTCACAGACCCCAGTCTCCAGATCCCAGATTATGAAAGTCGTTTTCATCTCTTTGACGACTGTTGCTGCAAGACCTTCTCCATTTGGCGAGAAACTCATTGATAAAATGAAATGGTGAGCCTGGAGCACGAGGAAAGGATACTTCTCTTCTTCGTACCAGATTGAGATGGTATCATCTGCGAAGGAAAATGCAACTTTGCGGTGATCAGCTGATATAGCCAAGCACGCCGCGTTACCCCAATGGTACCGAGTCTCACGCACGCAGACCCCGTTCGACCTATTCCAAACTTTCACAATCCCGTTCCGAGACCCTGTGATAACCTGTTGGTCATCTGCTGAGAACATTGCGATACATATGGCCGTGCCGTAGGTGTAAGTTTGGTCACCGATCGTATTCAAGCAAGCCCCAGTCTCTGCATCCCACAGCTTCGCAGTACCGTCATCAGACCCAGAAACAAACCATTGACCATTTGTCGAGTAAGATATCGAAGTGACTGATGCTTCGTGATCAAAAAGAATTTGTAGACAGGCCGTCCAGGTTGTACCTGGACGTAGGGTTGCCGTAACCCAATTAGGTGCTTCATGCCGGAACGTCTTCTTCACAATACTTTCGTCGGGACTGAAAACCAGAGCTGAGGCATAAACTTGGAAGGGTGTAGTTTCGATCGTAACCCTGTGACTTAATAGGAATCGGGTTGCATCATGGACGAATACTGCGAGGTCCTGTTCTGAGGCATTCGGAATTTCGTCCTGATTTCCTGTCAGCTGTTGAGACTCTACACACTTTGAAAATGTCTGACATGACCTACCATTATCCTCTGAAGGCTCTGTATAGCTCGAACCGCTAGTTGCATTTGGCCATGAAGGGCAAGGCCCTCTACCCAGTATAGAAACTTGGTTTGGAGAAAGGTTTGGATCCTGGAGATGGCCTCGGTATCCGTGGGTGAGGTTGCGCTCGAGTCCATGTTCCTTCCACAAATCCATTCGGCCAAATGATCCACCCAATAAGTCCAAGAGTATTTCAAGGCAGACAATGGATCGGGATAAGGGATTTCGATTTCCTCGTAGGGTGTTGTAGGTGTTTCTATACCATACATGTCGCGTTTAACGTCGTCCGAAATGAGAAGGACGTTGAGAGAGTTCCAAAAGACAGCTTGATGCCTCTCTGCGACACGAGGAAGTTTCGAAGCGCTGCTATGCAGGAAGTCCACGGCTGACTGATGGACAATGTAGATCGTGTCTTTTTGCATATTCAAAAAGGAACCACAAGACTCAATAATGCTTTCCAAATCCTCCGGCTCCAGATCGTCGTATAATAAATGACGGATAGTGTAAAAGAGTTCCTGGAACGTGATGGGGCGTATCACGACCGATATAACAGCCAGAATCTCCATGCACAGCTGTTGATTCTCTGAATCAAAGATGTTCTCAATCATGCGTCCGTATAGGCCTCCAAGGCCTGCTGGGGACTGGCCAAGGATTCTTTTGACGTTACGTCTGCTGGTTGCTTTGCTTCCAGAAAGCTCTTGACAGACCAACGAAACCCAGAAAAAGTGTTTCTGGAGTTTTCCTCCAGGTGACTTCGTACTGACCTAAGGAGATCGCTGTTGCTCTTGTAGGGCTCGACTTCCGCGAAACCTTCCACTTTCCATTCGATGTACTTGTTTACAGCGTGTGAGATGCTGCTTGCGTTTAATTCCAAAGATAGAGTCACCGCGTAGTCTTCTTTCTTGCCCAGTTCCTTCTCAATATCTGGCCAATTCCGGCTCGAAACAATAAGCTTCGCGCGAGAACTGGACGATATCTTACACAAGAACTTTAACAGCTTCTCGCGATCGCCGACATCCTTGCATTCGTCGAGGGCGTCCACAATGATCAAAACCTCGCCCAGATACTCATCTTCCAGCATGGACTCCAGTATCCTGCACAAGTCCTGCCACGCGTTGTGACCGACAAAGGTGGCTTCGTATTTGTTGTCGTATTCTTTGCGGACATGCGAAATGAGTGCGGGGTACTGTCGCACCAGGTGAAGGATGAGTCCGCGTAGAACGGCATTTGCAGTACTAAGCCTTTCCTCAGTGGCTTGGCAGAAAAAGTAGCACAAACGGTTGCTGTTCTCAAGCTCTTCGATAATACCACAGAGGAGCATTGTTTTTCCCTTGCCTGGATCTCCCTTGATCCATAGTCGACGGCTCTGCGTGCTGTTACGCCACTGCCGGAATTCGGGATTGTCAATGATCCCACGATACGACTTTCGGAGAAGCTTGTCCTTTTTCTCCAATATATGCTCCTTGTCGACAAAAGAGTCTGTCCGAGAGAGTGCCCTTAAGCACTCTTGATCTTTCTCATCTACATGGCGAGCATGTTGCTCTTGCCTTTGATTTCGTATGCCATTTCTTATATCAGACACGAGGGTGTAGAGCTTGGGATCTGAAATCAGTTCGCGTTAGTAAACCCGCGACATCACAAATCATCTGTCGATATCACAAAAGTTGAAATCGCTCTTCCAGGTAATGTTTGCCCTGCCCCGAGGAATAAACTAGACTACTTACCAAGTACAATCTCATTCTCCTTCTTGACCTGGCCAGAGGATACTATAGATAAAAGCTCCTTGGCAAAAGCTGCAGCCGTTGCAGCGGCGTAATCTTGCCACATTTTGTTCTTGTGCGAGTCAGAGTAGTCGCAAATACCACGAATCACTAGACAAGGGAAGTCTTGCATTAGTCCTGCAGCCTCCATCTCAAAACAGAGCACCCCAAGTTCCTTGCTCAATCGATCTCTGGTCTCGCTATCCTTCATGACCTGATTTCCTGAGGCGATGTTACCGTAGTGAACCAACGGCTCAGTATCATCTCTCTTCGTCCGCGGCACAGTTTGCGAGCCATCGCAGTCATCACAATTGGACTCAGCCCTGACATGCCCGTACTCCGCTCGAAATAGGCGGTCGTTTGGTTCGCCCTGATGGCTAAACTTCTGTCTGATCGTTGCCTTTTCAATCTTCCCAAGTGCCTCGGACAGGAACTGGGACATGGTACTGCCACCGCGTAAGTGACGAGCTTGCAGGCGGCTCAAAGCCGTGAGTAACGCCTGGGGTGGCGCATTAAGCGACCCTGTTCGTTCAAAGTCCTCGTGCTTCCGTTTTCTACCCCGGTCGTGCTGAATGATGCCTCCACTGGTGCCGGTGGGTCTGCTCACGACGATTTCGCCCAGTCGAATATCATGATCCAAAGATGGTGCTCCACCTCCGATACCAACCAACAGGCCGAATCGAATGGATTTGAAAGTTCGGAGCATATCTTTGGCGACTGTGGCGGCCGGGTCGGTTCCGTAAACACCATTTGGCAGACAGGCAATAACTACTTTATGACCTCGCATCATGCCTAGGGTGTAGCTGTTGTGATCGCCCTCGTCCTGCTCGAATTGAGGCGTCTCATAAACCTCATCGAGCATCAACTCAGCGGCGGCCATCTCCAAGGGGAGGGCACAAATCCATCCAACCGTATACGCATCTTTGTCCTCGGCTTCGCTCGTCGCATCCCCGCTCGAGGGCGCTATGTTGCGATTCGTAATGTCCATGCTGCACGAGATCCAGGTCAGCAGAAATGTTCTCCAGGAATTTGTAGACTACTGAAGCTCACTGGATTCAGACCTTGCTAGGTTTGTTGATCGGTGTCAAATTCAAGTGGGTCACTGGGAATCAAGTGTTTTGCAGGACACCATGTGCCTGTTCCTGTTCGGACAAAAGTGAGCAATCTGTCGTAACTTGCGCTGTCGTGGAAGTGATCAAGCGAAGGAACTGACAGTCTTCGGAGCAAGGAAGAAGAAGGGGCTCCAGCACGCAAATCAGGCTGTGGAAAGCGACGCAAAATGGACCGGCTGACTGATCCGCCAATGAAGGCGTACAATGTCTCAGTCAACAAGGGTAGCATAATATCAACGCCTTTGGCAGCCTTCATTGGTTGATACAAGTCCAATGTCCAACCTGAACATCGCAGCTCATCCAGTCACAGAGGACGCCAAGGAGGGCTTATTTTGCATAGCCATCAGGCGCCAGCAACGCCCGATTAGCTTAATACACCAATTTGCATTATCTCTTCTGGCATCTATGTTCAAGATTATTGCCGACTGACAATTAACCTGGCCCTCAGCTCAGCAACATTGGAAAACTGACCCGTTCTTGGCCCGCTGACTATCATTGTCTAATCCACTTTACAGATCGGACCAAAAGGCCCTCTCTGGATCTTAACATGTGTAGGTATTCACTTCAGTAGTGCTTCCTCTCAGCCAGATGAACGACCACCAAACTGGTACTACCTCTTTCGGTCCCAAAACGTCACAGCGAACATACACGGATCGTTCCACTCGTGTCCTCATCAACCTAGCGTCGGAGCACTTCGCGCTGCGGCCAATGGAGGATGTCATCTGTGCGCCCTGCTACTCGACAACTTCAAGCACAGCATCTTTGGCGACCGCAATAGACCACCTCGCATCCTCCCTGAAAGTGCAGTAGAAATACGATGGTACCCAGACGTCCAATACGGACTTTGGAATGAGAGAGCGACATATCGTTGCTTAGCTGCTTTTCTTCTCTCGAGTCTTAGTCTATTCCAAGTCCCGTTCCACTTTGCGCAGTATGAAGGTCGGGCCCTCCTCGTCCCACAGTTCGCATCATCCCCTCTTTGAAGCTGACAACAGACCGCAGACAATATAAGCTCTATTTCATCAACAAAGGCAATAGATTGCTCGTGGACAACCGGCTCGGACGACGATTTTCGGCTTGCGGCTTCGTGGATAAAGCGGTGTCTTGCGACCCATACATTATGCAGTCTGATCACGAATCCTTTGGCACCGCTTCCGACACGTGTTATGGACCTTATGGCGAACAACAGTCCATCCGGACTCTGCCTTGTTGATGGTTCTGGTCACCTGGGCCCATACATCATCACCATGAGTCATTGTTGGGGCAAGTCAACGATTATCACGACGAAGAAGGCTACCATTAACCAAAGAAGGCGATGTGTGTTCCTCGAAGACTTATCTCAGGCCTTTCGCGATGCTGTTATTACTTCAAGAGCATTGGGTGTCCAGTATCTTTGGATAGACTCGCTTTGTAAGTCTGATCTCCGTGCGAGCAACACAGCTCCCGCTGAGACAAGTCCGCTTAGGCATCATCCAAGACTCGAAAGACGACTGGGAATTTGAGGCCAAAAGGATGTGCCAGTACTACACTGACTCACTCATGACATATCGGGAGTGAGTTCGGCTGGTGGTGAGGGCGGCCTGTTTGCCACACGACACCCCGGCCTCACGTTTCCAATACCAATGGAGATCGCCTTCCCACGAGGTGAAAAGATGAAGGGATTTGTAAACGCACTATACTTTCCTGACCCGGCACGCGACATCTGGGGCGATCACAAGCCTCCGCTGTGGACACGAGCGTGGGTCGTCCAGGAGCGCGTCCTCTCGCCAAGACTACTTTTGTTCTCGTCAACCCAAATGAGCTGGCAGTGTCAATCTTTACGCATCGCCCGCTGCATCACACAGACTGTATCACGGTTGGTATGAGATCGTGAGGGAGTACACGCACTGCAAATTGACCATGGCATCAGACATTTTTCACGCCGTTGCTGGCATCGCGCAGGCGCTGCAGTACGCACTGAAAGACGAGTACGTATCAGGACTCTGGAAAGGCGATATCCACCGAGGTCTTGTGTGGGTGGTGTCGGAAGGGGTCAAGAGTCAGACGGCGCTGAGATCCTATCGCGCGCCGTCTTGGTCATGGGGCTCGTTGCCGGAGGCGTGCAGGTTTGTGCTGTCTGATGCCCCTGGAGAGTTTATCGACACGACGTGGCTAGATATCCTCAGCTTCGACACGCTAGGCCCCAACGAACCACGGTCGGCGCTGAGGGTGAAGGGTCGGCTGCGGAAGGCATATCATGTGCCTTATGTTGAGTACGATTTCCAAATGCACCTCCCGACAAAGATCAAGCGGGGCGATGACCTCGCTGACGCAGAGACTGGTGAGTCTCTGGGAGCAGTGACGATCGACAACAATGAAGTCTCCCTTCTCGTTGAGCTCTGGTATCTGCCCGTCTGTCTTGTTAAGTCCAACGTCCCAGGGCACGTCCGCAAGCGAACAGCTGTCGGGTATACGGAGTACCTCTGTCTTGGGAAACATCGCAGCATGAAGTCGCCTCCAATTTGGATTGAAGGACTAGCCTTGCAGTGTCTCGACAAGCAGAAGCAGATCTACATGAGGGTTGGAAAATGGCGATGCGAAGACCTGAAGTTATTTCGGCGGCAACATTACCGCACCATATCTATAGTATAGATGCCATAGAGTCAGTTAGCAAGTTGATGCTTTCCCCTGTCGTGGGTTGAGATTGACATGGACAGAAAGGTTGGATGACAATGCGAAAACCCCAGAAAACTACGTAACTGCGCCAAACCTTCTCAATCGAGTGCTTAATTTTAGCGGAATGGGAAGTGCACACAGGCCCAAAGAGGATACGACCGGTATTTAAGCACTGATATTAGAGCCATTGTACTGCTAGGCTCTCGGGGGTCAAAGTCGGTCCCGGAAGCACAAGTGGGGCCGCAATCGGACCCAGTCACCGGGCGCTAAGAGCCGAAAAGCGCCTTTTCCTCAACCGCATGTTTGCCGCACCTTGACAAGCTGCTTTGCTCATTTGGGGAGATCAGAAGACGCCGAACAAAGCCAAAATAACTAACAATCTCCAGAACCAAAATCATTGACGTAATGATTGCTACCTTATCAGACAATGCCCACTACTGGCCGAAATCCAATGCATGACGCCGGAGGCCGACAACAATCGTAGCCACTCACAAGCGTGTTGTTGGGGGCCAGCAAAGCCAAGCGCATGTCTTGCGCCAGGTCTTCAGCTTTCCTTCACGGGAGTCATGCAAAAACGCAGAGTGTTTGTGGCAAGCTGCTGGAGGACACACTCCACTGGAGGTCCCGTGGCGGGGCGTTTTGATACGGTCATTTGGCGTCGGTCCGGCTCGCAGTTGAATACATAAAGCACTGAGACTCATACTATCCATCAACTGTTGGCAAAACCTCAGTTTCTCAGCTTCAACTTACACTCGCTCCACCGAAATGGCCACCCTCGATCATCTCAAGCGTGCTCTTAGGGAACCCTCCAAGTCTAACGATACACTCGCCAGCCAACCACTATCTGATAAGGAATACAGCATGAGTTTCAACCTCTTCAAAGAAGGCTCAAATGCATACGATGACTTCATTCTGCCTCAGCTTACACAAGTCCTCACTCCAATCGTTAAAGCACGCCCCCGCGTCTCTGTGCTGGAGATCGGACCCGGTACAAAAAGCGTACTCGGATATCTGCCTTTGAAAATGAGGCATCAGATCACAAGTTATTCTGCACTTGAGCCGAATGGACTATTTGCTTCGTGGCTAGAAGAGTGGCTCGAGTCGGCGGACGATAAAGGGCTGCCGCTGCCCTCCCTAGAGAGTCGACCGGACGTGAGATGTATTCCTTTCGGTCTGGACAGCTCCAAGGAGAACTTCTACGATGAGAAGTTCGATGTGATTCTCTTCTGTCATAGCATGTACGGCATGCATCATAAACACGACTATCTCCGGGCCGCCCTAGACCTGCTCATGGACCACTCAGTAAACGGCACGGTAATCGTCTTCCACAGAGATGGCCCACTTCACCTAGACGGCCTCATACCTCACCAAGTTGCACCTTCCCCCACAGGGATTGTTCGAGTGGAAAACACCAATGAATCGCTGGACCGCTTCACCTCATTCATCGCAGGCTCCATGCCGAAAACCACCGCCATCCAACTCGAATGGCGCAATGTCTGCCGCTCCCTTGGCCGACACGACGAGGGACATCTCATCTTCGCCGCGCCGGAGGTCATGATGGCTTTCACGCGACATTCAACAGCACTACCGGAGCTAACGTCGAGGGTGCCGGTCGCAGACGAGGAGATGCAGGTCAAGAACCGGGAAGCGCGTCTACATCGCCCGGCCGCAGTCATCAGACCAACCAAGATTCAGCATGTGCAGGAGTGTGTCCGATGGGCTTTGAAACATCGTATGGCGTTGACGGTTGTAGGCGGGGGGCACAGCGGTCACTGTCAGTGGCAAAATGTCGTTGCAATCGATATGAGCGCCTTCAACGAAGTGCATGTTCTGACTGACGCGAAGGTTGGGGGTATAGTCTTCGCCGGGGCCGGCTGCAAAACAGGCGACATCATAGCAAAGGCGATGGAAAAGGGCCTCGCCGTATCTCTTGGCTCTAGACCCAGTGTGGGGCAGGCTTATGGCTTCAAGGTGGCATCGGACACCTAGCTCGCCTCCACCGCCTCGCTTGCGACGCTATCATTGGGGCTATCCTAGTCAGCGTCGACTCCGGACAGATCCTGTGCATCGGTCGCATACCAGCGCAACACCAAGCCGCCGGGGCCATACGTCCAGAAATCGAAGACGACCTGCTCTGGGGGATAAAAGGGGCAGGAACCAACTTTGGGATCGTCGTCAGCGTCGTGTTCATAGCGCAGCCTGCTCTTTTCTTCTCAGTTCG